GGCGCCATCTCCACAGCTGCGTCGACCTGAACTGCGGCTCCGGCAGCTGGCGCGGCTCATATAGCTGAGCGCGGCAGGCGTGACGGTCTGGAATCGCAGCCCGCGCCCGGAGGCCGCGGGCTTCCCAGTCACTCGCCCCAAGGCCCGAGCTGACGTGGCCCGAACTCGGGAGCTCCCCGGCAGCGCCGGCGAGGCCACCTCCTAGCGGCACGAACTCGGGGGGCCCCCTGGCAGCGCCGACGGCCGGATGGGCGCCGGCGAGGCCACCTCCCAGCGGCCCGAACTCAGGTCAGGTGGTCTACCAACGCGGGTCGTCGAACACGCTCAAGCTAACACGCAGTGCGTATAAATATAGCAGTATATGATAAGATATAGCGGCACCAAGAATTGACAGCCTTCGGGGATGCTCGTCGCCTGCCATTATGACTCCGTTAGTTGAAGGAGGCGCTGCCTGCTGCTAAACCTCATCACTAGTGGCTTTGTTTCCAACACTGAAAGCGTGCTGGTGCAGATTCTTTCGCCACAAGTTTACATGGTGCATATTGTAATGTTGTATATCACGCGGTACGTTATACATATGTCTCATGAGAACTTGGTGAACACCACGACCCGGGCCAGTCATTTGATTATGACTACGTGCAGCTCCCAGCATCGCAGAATGCACCGCCTGAACTTCCCCGTGACTCACAGAGCGTAACAGGCAGGCACTGCCTCATGGCCATGGCTTTCCAGCTGCCGCGAGCAGCTGAACACAAATCCGGCGCTGGTCTCCCACGAGGGCCTGGTTTCTCGGGTGCACGCCACCCCGTCTGCGGGGTTCACCGATCGGGTGTTGTGGTCCCTGCGCTATGGTTTATGTCGGACCCCCTTCCAGATATCTTCGGGGACTTCATCGCCATCGTCGTCACAGTCCCGATTGTCGAAGGGAATGCTGTGAGGCCTACCGTTCTTGCTAAGCGAGGTGTATGGTGTTTCCATGAGTTTACACGACCGCGATAGGTGAAAAAGCTGTGCGGCTCAAATCACCCGCTGTTCAAAGCCTGTCACAATCGTCATAATCGCCAATCGTGAACCGTTCATGCGGCACAAGAGCACATATAGGCGACGATACAATTGCTAGTGCGCGGCGACGCACGTGGCAGGGCCCAGGCCTCAACATCACGCGTAAGCTCACGAGTTCACGCGTTATGACTGGGCTGCAGTCAGCAGTGCTTTCATGACATATGATTTGGTAAGTGTTGTCTGGAGCGCGAAGCTGCTGGTTAAGACGGGTCTGTGCATCGCCTGAAAATTCTCCTGATCTGTGACCGTCATGGTTGTATGATATTGTTGTAAGATCTAAACCCTTGCATCGTCCCACTGCTGTTGGGTTTTACTATGGCTCCTCTGCTTGGCAAGCATGCTTTTTGGGCTTCTGATGTGAGTCTTATGGGTATTCGCTGCTGCGTTTTGTCTCTGTTACGTTAATATATTTTCTTAGTTGCATCAGTATCTCTGTTGGTATTTGCGCGATGCTGATGACATTTCCCAATGCCTGTCTTGACAGTGTCCGGGTAGCGTGACTGGAAGCTCAGGTGATGACCGGTCGTTGTTGGTTTCCGGCACATCAACGTCCTGGGCCTGCTGTCGGTTCTCTCAACCTGCACGTCTGTGAACAATAGTCGGCCTTGCCCTCACGGTGCATAAGATTATCCTGACAACACCAGGACAGTCTTCAGGAGCAGCTCAACGCTCTGGAGAACACTTACCAAAAATGGACCACTGACATCTGAGGAGCATGCGAAGAGTGTCACGTGAAGCTTACCATGCGGTTGTGGCAGGTACTACAAAGGAGAAGCATGCCGCCCTCCGTCGGTCAGACTGGAGGCGCACAGGAAGGCAACATTCAGGGTGGGACTCTGGAGTCCGGTGTAGCATATATGGCCGGAGGGCGATGACAGACCACCTCGGGGAGAGATAGACAATAGAGAGACATGAGACAACAGCCATCATCGGCAGAGAGCAACACTGACATGCGGCATCACTGGCAACACTGGCAGAAAGCTCAAGGAGGCAGCACAAAGGTCATTGACTAACAACCTCATGAGTAAGCCAGGCATCAACATGGGCCCGATATGGTTACCACATCTGCGGAAAAACCTCTAGATATCCAGGAGGTGAATAACAAACAGCAAGTTCGAACACGGACAGGTTGCCCTTCTGGTTGGCTCAGTTGTAAAGCCCGGAACCCGCAAAATCAGAACACCCCGCCATTCGAATCTGGGCAACCCCCGGCAGAAAATTTGGGTTGTGAAGCCGACACGGCTGAAGCCAAACACCACCCAGTCTTCAACAGTTAACTATATTGTTGACATGGGCGGCCGAAGGTAGTTCGAATTTAGACTGAGACGGATAATCGCTCGATGAACCATTGCCGAAGTGTGTTTTCATCGGCGAAACCGACTTGATGTCGTATTAAAGGGGGTGTTCCACATCCAGATGGGGTTTTGAACTGAAAGGCCGTCTCGAAGACCAGTCCGTACTGTTCACAATCCTGCCCTTTTCAAGACCTAGGCACTGAGCCCCATCCTAAAGCCCCAAGCCTTTCTGAGCTATACGCCCGCGAAAATTGGGAACGGATATCGGGTAGGGTACTTTAAAGTCTTTTTGGTATTCATGGTGTTATAATGACGTCATTCAAATCCTGCCATTCCATAAGCCATGCGTCGATCAATGCCAAAAATGCAATTGTCGAGGCATTCACATCTGGTGCTCGTGGGCGCGATTTCCAGATATAACAGCCGCCAACTGGCTCTTAATCAATGCTGTGCAAGGTACGATGACGTGATCACACCATGACACATTGAGGAGCATATTTACTAAACAGAGCATTGCGCTGTCTAGAGCAGTCTTGTCAACTTAAAAAGTGTACCAATGGTTGTAAGTGAATTTGGTTCATCATGTCTGAGGCCTTAGACAGTAGTATTAGCATTATTCCTCGAAAAAATCAGCAGATTGGAGATACAGTTAGCTTGATATTTCGGCAACATGCCTTTATCGAAACAATAGCAGAAGTCTTCTATTGCCATACGTAGTAGACTTCTGCTATTGTTTCGATTAAGGCATGTTGTGATAGGGTGGACACTGCCAGGACAAAAAATTGTAATAATAGTAATGATTGGGGCTTTATATCATACCGACTTCCAGGGCCATTTCGAGACGGACGCCTTTATTAGGGTGTCATGTGGGATGTGGTTACGGCGTGGCATGGACCAGATCCCATAACCCACAGGTCCAGAATCAAGCGCCTTAGCCACTTTGCCACAATATATGCCAAACACTCTTGCCTGACACTGCTGCCTCACCACTTGGATGAGCGTGTTTCAAGCAGCCTCAATACCACGGATTCGAACAAAATTGCAACCTGAACGAACGATACTCCTATGGGAAAGGATTTCTGCACGCGCGTGATTCGAATTTGCCGGACGGCGCTCGGGTGTTGAAATGGGCCCGATAATTCGCATCGAGACCAGGTGATAACTTAACTCGAATTTCAGCTATCAATGAGGTGTTTACATTTAATGTCATGTAAAGGCCTAACGACGGATGGAGGATTAACTGGCTGAAACGTTGTGTGCACAATAATGCACCAGATCTCGACGATAGCCGAATTCTCCCATCTAGGTTACTGATACGTCGTCTCATGCCGTTCTGTCTCATTCCATCCGTGTTACTAATACCTCGTCTCTGTCCGTAAGGCCACCTACACCACTATACCATTCCATCGAACTATTGTGTTATGCTGCGTTCGGTGGGGGTGAGTCGTTCCGGCTCTTCGCTGGATCAAGTTTAGCTTGGCTAAAATATTTTTCGTTTCAGATCGCGTAAGGCTTGGCTTTGGCGGCCAAACATTCGCAAACGCTACAGGCACTGGTTTAACGTGTGTGGAGTATGTGTGTGCGTGTGTGGGGGGGGGGGGGAGGGTGAATGAGCTTTCACAGTATTCTAACATATGCATATTAAATGCGTTGATTTTCTTGCAATCTCAGACCCGTCATGTTGGAGGAAGTTTCAGTCCATGCAGTGATCAAATTCTTCTAAGCCCGACGTCTTTGGTTTTGTCTTCATCAGACACAAAAATAAGGCGGTCTCACCCGAGGAGCAGCCGGCGCTAGTGGCACAGGTGTATGCACATTTTGGATAAGATATATCGTGGAATCTCATCATTAAAAATTTATTAACATGTGTTGGGAATTGTGAACACCGCTGGAGAGCGCTGAAAAACTTGGCGTGTCGAAACTGTTGGAGTGTCTGTGGGAAAAGGCCATCACCAGCATTTTTCCAGGAACGCTGGACTGCCGCAGCCGCGCAGGTCGTGATACAAATCCTTGATCATATCGCATCACTTCCACCCCTGTTCGCCAGCCAACCAGTGGGAGTTGCCATGACAACGCCGGCTGACGCTAGACACCACGACCATCCAGAGGCGGCGGAGGCGGGTTGACATCCACAAAGCCGCCGACACAACGGCTGGTGCATGTTGGGCACATGCAGTATCCTAGGAGCTAGGTCGCTTACGTTTTTAAAATGCCCCATTGTCGTGTTTGGTCGCAAGCAAACACCAACCCGCGAACAGCTTGGATGGCTTTGCTCCAAAAGTAGCCTAGAAACGGAATGAAACGGAAGCACACGCTGCTAATTAACGTCCATACGTTAATTGACTTCCATACTTGTGGGTTCCAAGACATGCGCAAATATATCGAGAGCACGTATGGCTTCAACGGTTCCGCTGCGCCTGCATGCGAGGACTGGACGGTCCCACAAACACCATGGTCCTGGCAGGGCGCCAGTTTCGATCGACTCCACCATTTGCAACAAGAGTCGCCAGGCCGACGTTAACCTGTGACTCACTGAGTGGAGCATGCAGTCCTCTTGACAAGTGACGCTGCTATGTGGTGTGACCCAAAGCAAGGACATCTACAGTAGCCTGGTTCAGCCAACACACACCAACCGTAGCCGAGTACGAATCATGGCCCAATCATATTGGGAAGTTTATTTGCATAATTTTAAGTACACGGGCGGCTTTCCTGCCCCATCCGGCCCCAACCACAATGCTTCACAGCGCCACAGCCCATACATATAAAAGATTACAAAGCGATCAGCTCCGCCTCGTCGCCTGGCCACGGCGGCCCGTGACCGCGACACCTACACCGGGCCTTAGAGACCCACTACAGCCGACACAGCCGCGCCAGAAACTCGCCTCGCCCGCCACCCTCCGCTTCCGGTCACAGCCAATCCCACCCCACGCCGGCGGCGGCGCCAGCTAGTTCTTCCACTGGCTCTTCTCGTAGTCCCAGTTGGAGCTGACGCCCTCGACCGGGTTGATGCGCAGGTCGATCATGCGCTGCACCTGCGCCTCCACCTTCTCCGGGTTGGTGATGGTGTCCGGCATGGTGTCGTACACTGTGGACGGACGGGCCACACTCACGTCCAGCCAGCGGAGTCCCCTTCACTTCAACGGTGCTCTCGTGACGCTAACAAAGTGAGTGCTGCTGTTGTAGTGGTTCACATGCAACAACCGACTCGAATGAAACCGTTCGGGAATCCATGCAGGCAAGGTAGTGTTATGATATTACCAAATGAGCCAACAGCAACCATGGATATTCATAACGATTTCTATTTCATCTTACAGCAATAAGCAGCTGTTCCATATCATGCATTTTTGATAATGTTTCATGAACTTCCCTCGTGACGCATTGTTTTTGCTGAACTTCTCTCGTGACGCATTGCTTTTCCCTCCGTAGCTTACATGAATTTTTAAAGTGTAACGTTTAGTGCGGACATGAAGTGGACTGGTTACTTCTAAGTGTCTTATTAAATAACACTGATGCTCTTGTTACACTTGTCTTGAGGTGCACGCGGGTCGCATTTGCCACTGACGACGAGTTCGGAAGTCAAGGTGCAAGTAAATATAACCATTTCGCCTCATATTCGCCTCATATAACCATTTCGTCTGCACTAGGCATTATAATTGTTCACATCTGAGGCTGGAAATTGTTCAAGCAATTCAACGTTTCAGCATAATTCCAACGCATATCTGAGCATAACGCTGCGTTGTCCAACCCCGTCCCTGTTGCGCTCTAGTTACACCTCATCAAAATCCCTCTCCTATTCTCCACGCGTTGCGTGATTTATGGATAGCACCCACGGTTGCACTTACCATGGCAAGTCCGAAGGAGTCCATTGTGACAGCCTACACATGACCTCTATTTCCCAAAGGGCCATCACAAATGTCTGGCTTCCATTTTTTCCTTCAGAACGACATCTCAAGTCGATCCTTCTCTCCAAATATCCCGGCTCAGCTCCCGCACCGCCTCCGCCGACTCACCGTAGACCTTCATCCAGAGGTAGACCCAGATGGCCATCGAGCAGGCGATGAGCGTGCCGCCCAAGGCCAGCTTCCACTCGCCGGTCGGCGCCTGCATCTCGGCGAAAGACTGGCAGAACGTGGCGCGGTACAGCTCCTGCACCTCCTCCGGCGTCAGCTTCTTCCAGTCGCCCTTCTCCTTCTCACGCAGAGCCTGCCCGTACACACGTTAACGCTCGGATGCTGCTGCTCTAGCTTGGTGCTAACGTGCAACTGTGCTGCCTTCTCCGGTAAGCATTTCATTATTATTTTTTACGCATTAATGGTTCCATCCTATATCAAGACATCAATTTTATTCGCCGTCTTTAATAAAACACGATTTACAGAGCAAGTGTACAATACATTTTTCAAAGAGTGCTGCAAATTTGTACGGAGGTTTGAACTGAGCCAATTGTCTTAAAGGCCATTTGGTACAGTTCACAGCCCTGCCCTTATCAAGACCTAAAACCATCTAATTTCTGAGCTACACACCCGCCAAGATGTGCAGACTTTATCGCGCAGACTATTTCAAGGCCATTCAGGCATGCATAACGCCTTAGAAGCATAACTGAAATCCTGTCACCCCTTGGCCATGTGACACTTAAGGCCAATAGGAATATAATCGTCGTGTCATTCACATCTGGCGTTCACAACGATTACCAGATATGACAGACGTGAACTGGCTCTCAATCGATGCTGTGCGGGCTGTGCAAGATTCAAACAAATCACGTTTAGTGTTGCACAATAAAGGAAGTTGGACTTAATGCATTGTTATTATGGGAATAAGACTTGTGATCAAATAAGTTGAGAATGGTGCAATACCCTGAGCATGTGAATAAAATTATGTGACTTAAACTCACGATCAACATGCAAGAACACCACGAGAAAGGGCCAAAGCACGAGCACACAACAATATTTGGTTTGACAGGCAAGCTTATCACCAGCACAGCGTCATGGCCACCTCTTGGGAAACTGGAGTACTTCAAGTGAGTGCCAGGAAGGCAGCTTTGCAGGTTTAGTTTGGTAGTACCTCAACAGGATGCAAATGTTCTATGATGCAAACAGTGACATCTTGAAAATAATTACTTAATTGCAAAATTGTGTTGTTTGGAGAAGTCATTTCTATTATGAAGTATGCCAATCACTATAAGTGAATTAATTTCATTATATCTGATGCTTACTTCAATATCTTCAAATGTGGAACACTCATCCAACTGACAGTGGTGAAATTATCACAGCTGTGACACTTAGTAGGTGAGTGCTGGTATTTATGACTTGATTATTCCATTTGCTGCCATAAAAGCTTAGTTATCACACCTCATTTAAATTTCAATTCATTTTTTATCACCTTACCCAGGCAACTGCCTGCACCAACCTTACAAACATGGGCTGCAAATGCGGACTATCTGCCTTGCGATGGAGGTCCCGCACATTTCGCACCTTGATCTGTGGCGTTTCCTCCTTGAAGCGGACGGCCGGGATCGGGTAGTCGACGCGGTCCATGTAGTTGGGCTCGCCGTTGTAGCCGTAGCCGATCACCTGGCGGTTGCCGTGCCGCTCCATGACGGTGGGCAGGCCGCCGCCGCTCAGCGCGGCCGGCGTGGTGCTCAGCCGTGCCACTGCCACCCGGCCGCACCGGCGCAGTACCGTGCCCGTCGCCGTCGCCATGCTGCAACGCCATTGGTGCTTGTGAAAATGGCGTGACACAATTTGGAGACACACACACACCCAGACATGTGCACCCACCCATCATGGATTAAATCGGGAGCCTCAATATCAAGAGCATAGGCTATTAACAAAATTTTGACCACATTTTTAATGCAGCAGAATCACCTTGCCAGAACTAACATAGTACTAAAGTTTGGGGTGTTATTTTAGAACATCTACTAAACTTTAAGGTGATTGAGCATAAAATTATTTTGTGTGCTCACAAATAAATACACAATGCCTATACTGCTTGCTGTGCTAAGGGACCTGTTCAAACTTAAGGCCCCTTCAATGACAAGACACATATAATGTTATATTCTTTCACCAGGCTCACCTTCAGAAACTGACTGCTAATTTTTTATACCAGAAGCATGGAATGAACTCCTGCCCAGAATTTCCAAAACTCAACCCAAATACAAATTCTTGTCCCAGCCCTGGCCAAATGGGATCTTGTTAAAAATGACCCTGATTCACAGATCAATGCCCTGTGCTTTGCTGGGATAGTAGAAGAGATCCTCCCAGTAACCTATTCATGGGTGATAGAGAAAAAGCTACTCATGCTGATTTGTATTGCAACAGCTTCCACTGGTATCAAAAGTAGTAAAACACCACTTATGGATGGCAGTAGTAGTAGCATTGGTTCAATTTGGGTTGTAAATGTTGTCCAGAAGATAACTTATCATATAGTACTGCTTGATATACACCAAAGCATGCCATACATCCAAAACCTGAAAACTACGAGCAAGCAGAAACCACAGACAAGAAAACCACATGTACCTAGAAATCAGGAGCATTGACACAGCATTAAATTATCTTGCACAAATGTTTTATTATTGACTAAAATTTACTAATTACAACCTTAAATAGGAGTACTATGTGATGCATGCAATATGCACTTCATTAGAACAAGTCCTGCTGGGTAATAATCAAGAATGACCTTACACAGCTCATGACAGCAGACTGCAAGGAATAACATAACTTTGACATCTGTGATATTTTAATATACAGAGGCTTTCAAATCCCAATCCATTTATAAGTGTTTTAGCTATTGTCATGTTTTATATTAACATAACAGGCCTCATTCATATCAGATGTTACACCTCCTTCAAGTTTCATTAATGTGCTGCACCATGCATTCCATTTTCGATTATCACCATGGTGAAGTGATTAAGAGCAGATTTTGACACATCCATGTCCATATCAATGGAGCAGCAATCACGTTTTCAATGGCTGGTGTCCACCTAGCGGCCTTTTTCGCCCCAGAAAAGGGCGTTCGCGGCGCACAAACCCATTCGCCTCGTTCGAAACTATGATCACACAGTTTTACGATCTATTTTTATTGAAGAAGTGCCATAAGGATAGCAAAATACAAAAAAATGTGGGTAACTTGCATCCTCAAACTTTTACGCACCCAGAAAGGGAACAAACCACCTGCCACGCAACCCAAACGGTTTGTTTGCCGGAAGTCGAACGCCTGACCTCTACAAGGTCTGGAAAAATAACGAGGAAGTGAAAGACGCTAAAGTGAGGCAGAATCGAGCAAGCACGACGAGAGAAAAAGCTGTCGTATTCATGTTAACACAAGTAAGTGGCAAAAATGTAGTCCTAGCAGTCGTAGTGTCTTAACCATAGGTGACGATTTGCATTTTTTGGGTGGGGCGTTGCCCGCTCCCAATGCTCAGTCTTACTCCCAACAGTGAGTTTGGCCATCCAACTTTGTGGATTCTGAGTGCCAGCAGGACATCAAAAATAAGATCACAAAATTCAATCAACTTGAGTGAAAGTTTTTGCTTCCGTTGTGATGATAACCTGGTAAAAGAAACACATGATTCGAAAAATGCAACTTTTTCTGTTGGGTGCAGCTGACTGAGCTACTCACGTCTTTATACTATCTGTTTTCATCCATGTTGCATGTTTTTGATTACGCGATTAATGTATCTTATTGACACTGATCTAGGTCTGTAATAACGTCTGAGTGCTTTGGCATTATTCAGTGATGTTTCAATTCCTTCAAGCTGCAGCAGGCTGCATTATTTTATAGCGACGTCTTATGGGAAAATGAAAGCAACCCTTTCGAATACCAGTACCTCAAAAAGTGCCCATGCTTTTAGCTGTCTACGCCTGAGACAGGCTTTGGAATGCGCAAACCATCACTTTAACGTTAATTTTCGATGGACAGTAACGAAAACCTAACGATAGGCATCAGCCGATGATCACCAAAACAACACTACTCATGTGGAACTTGTCTAACGCGATTGCTGCGTTGCATCTTGCATCCTGTCCTACGGCTACCAGCCGCGAGTTTCCATGACAGCCTTCAATTGTCGCACGCATCAACTTACTCTGTTTACTCTCGAAACCACGTAACACCGCCTTCGAGAAACTGAAACCTGGTTTCGACGATCAAACGCCAAACAAAAATGATAATGGCGCCTAACGACAAATCTTTCGCCGAGACAGAACAAAAACACGTGTTTAAAAAAACCTATTAAACACATTTAGACGTCTTAAAAAAGAAAACGTTAACGTATACGATTTGGACTGGTACTTTCCTAATCGGCTTTTTTTCGAGGATGGCGGGGGGGGGGGGGGGGAAAGGCCCAACTCCATAACGATGAGATATGAGTCAAATCCGAGGAGAACTCAGTTTTTTGGCATAACTAGGGCTAAATTTTCACTCAGCTCCCAGCCCTGTTTTGCAAACTGCCGACTCTGTGGTGGAAAGACTTCAACGATCGTGGCACGCGACAGAATCCCCACCGGCTTGCTCCAGTTTCAAATTTTGAAGGACTGAGGGTCCATTTCCCAAGCAGGCGTAAACCCAGCCCCCACGAATTACATTGGTCAGGGCTCCTGCGTCCATGAGGATGCCTTTATATCTCTGTCGGGGTCACAGAATACGCATCGACTACCGTGGTTGGAGAGGTTTAGATTTGATGGGGCATTGCCGAGAAGAAAACAAGGAAGGGGGAGGGGTAGATAGCGTAACGTTTCGCTCAGGTACGGCTTCAAATCATGCTAAGCCTTTTAAAATCGCCCTGAAATCTGAATGCTAGACATCCTTACCTTGCACCTTGCCGAGGGCGGGATTTAGAAGACCGCTGGGCCTGCCGGTCCCGTTCACGTTAAGCTTCTGAGTTATTCAACCTACATTAAAGCCGGTCTGGAATGATGTATTTTGCATGTATTTCATTAGACGAATTCACATTCCATCATCATTGGCTGTATTCACAGCGCATCAAGAATGCTCTATTCTACGTAACGTCATATATAGTCATTGGCGGGCGTGTTAGCAGTGCAGCACTTATTCTGTTTAAGTCCTCGCAACTGCCGTGACAATAATTGTGCACGCAAAGATTTCGCTTCCAGGTGCCATGCGTGTACCTTATCATAGCAATTGCAAATTGCGCTATTCGTAACGTATAACACAGCTCTTTGTCATTCGCGTTCGGTCTTGGGCACGCAGATTGACACGTCACATGTCTATGCATTGCGCTGTTTCTATCTGGCCTTAATGAAGTCGCGGAAAAAAATTATGCGCGTTCAGCAAAGACTACACGTGACGTAATGAATAATCTTCGTCGTCCAGTCGCAGCAAACATCGAAAGGCCTGCATCTACATGGTATGACGACATGAGTGAAATCGACGGCATATTTTCTCTGTCTTTGGGGGCTGCGCTGCAATTCGTCAAGACGCTCATGACGCGCATGTGTCCAGTGCGCGTCTGATCTGAATTTGAGCCGTCTTAGTTTATCAGATGCAGGCACACTGCGGCAATGAGCGCTCCATTCGTGGACAACCCTCACGCGGAAGGCACTCCTTCTGACCCGTGTCACTGATCGAAATTCGTTTGGCTTGCAGGCGAGGTCCTCGTGGAAGTCGTCGTGGCTGGCGAGAGGAACCCGTCTAGATCGATTTAAATTCCTGAGTGCCAGATGTGGTAAACAGTGATCATGTCACCTTGGCGTATGCCCTGGTATATGAATGACAAACGAAGCTTAATGAATTTTTCCCAACTAGCATCCTCGCGCCCCAAAATCAGAGACAGCGGGCCGTTGTTTAGCCGTGTCCCAGTTGTTTAGCCGTGTCCTAAGTGCACCCAGATTCTTTTCCTGGCAAATTTTGCGCAATGGGGACGATCCGCGGCCACTTCGAGCAGCTCCGGCACTGCGCACGAAGGAAAGGAAAATGTTGTGCTCACACCCCGTGTATTACATCACCATTGTAAATTAATACCGAATCAATGTTTTAGGAATGAAATTCGTACAATGTTATCGTTCGCTCTGTGAATGAAATAGAAATGGGCAAGAGCACATATTCACATGGAATTTCGTATCACTTCATTTAACGACCTTGTAAAATGTAGGCAAATCCACCAATAACCCGCATGAGTACGCAACATTCAGATAAGGACCGCACACAAAAATCTACGTCCACACAAGAACATGCACTTCGTAAAGTCGCTTGTTTTTCTTTCCCCCACCCGGGAAATTTCACCGGCTCAGGCGTGCGCGAACCCGCCAACTCTCGGAACACCTGATGCTGGCGGTCTCGGCCGGCGACGATGCGCAGCTTTGTACCGCGGTTGGCAGATGTTCTACACGGGGATGCGATGTAATGACGACGCGAGAATACTGATAAACGCAATTGAGGACGGTAGTGCAGCCATGTACACTAATAATATTTACTTGCACCGTTACGTGCCGGGCGATCGCGTAACACACTCACCATACAGTGCAGAACAATCAGTCTCTCTCGCCGGCACTGTGCCCAATGGTCATCAGTGGTGCAGACGTATTGACCGAGACAGGATGATTACTGAATTTAGTACAAGGGAGCTGAAAAGTTGATGACGGTATCGTTAAATAGATCCAAGATATCTAGTTACTGGCTGGACACAAAATGAGCGCAGCATGACATTGATATAAACTCTTGGCATCTTAGCAAATGCCCCTGGGGCGTTGGATAACCGCAGTGTCCGCACTGAGCGAATGGTAAAACGGGCATTGCAAAGCTGTTGCATGCGAACCGGGCCTGGCGTCTGGACAGGTGCTGTGGCTCTGCACCCTATGAGTTATTTCAGTGTCATTTTCCGGCTCAGTCGCAGGTTGCGCTGCTACAAATCAACCAGATGATGTTGGCTGACCTTCTTTTCAGCTGTCTTGTCCTTCTTCTTGTCCTGCAATTTATCAGAGATTTCGCTTATTGCTTGGAGGTTCAAGGTATAGATATGTTTTTATCAGCTTGTTCTAGAGTGATTGAAATAGCTTGCAGCATTTTTGATTAGGAAAGGATAATTAGTGCTAGAAAAACGGCTCGACCAAGACATTGAATCTACGAGTTTGAGACTTACTGCTCCTAAATTTAAATTACCATCAACAGCCAGGCCCGCCAGCACAATAGCACATTTTTATGCCCGCAAGTAGAAGGCGTGAGTGAGGAATCATGTTATTTGTTCCCTGAGACACATCAATCATGATCGCGATCGATTGCTGCAGCTAAAATGTGCCAAGTGGGTTGACGATGTTCTCCATCAAATCCTCTATCAAAATCTGGGGATATCATTTATCCATAGAACCTTGTTGATCAAAACTGTTAGAGGATATCCGGCCTAGCTTCTCGGACTTTTTATTTTCTCCTTATTATTTAAATCCATGCACTCGCCAGATAAAGATCATTGGTGCGCTAAAATAGATAGTTCGCTTTACGTGAAAACTCTCTAGCCGGTCACTGAAATGATTAAATAGTTTAATCGTCCACATATTACTTCAGATGCCCTGTTGCAGTTTTAAAAAGCTACCGATATGAGTCCGCTTGTTCATTTCAAATCATATCAACTATGATTATGAGTAGTACTGCAGAATTACCCACGACATAAAACAACGCGCTAAAACACATCACGTTGTCGAGACTTTAGTCCATTTCGTTCTGGCTTGATTCAACGTCATGCTAGGGTAATGCAGGGATCATGTTTCTAATAAACAAGCTCTACTCAAGTAACAACTCATCTCTGGGTAATGTTAGGACTGGGGATTGCAGTTACTTGAGCTATTGCCTTGGCTTGGGCGCGGAAAGTAACACACGCACGTAACGAAACCCACGTAACACACACAATACAGACGTCTATGACAAAGATCATGTTAGATGATGCACTCGGCTTCATCTAACGTAAGGATATACGTGCAATGTACTTTTAGAGATGACGGGAAATCTGCCGCTTCAAGGGATATCAGCGAGCAAAATATCAGCGACAGTCATAAGAAATATCAACGCATAGGATGTCAACGGTACACTTAACAGCTTCCTTTTTCATTTCCCGAAGCCCTTCCGCAAACTTCTCCGAGGCAATCATGCACGTTTGTTTGGCGACAACGCCATCAAATTAAAGCATCGCTGCAGTACTCAGAATGATGGCAGATATGATTTCACATGCATTCCCATTGACCGCCTCAACATGATGACAACATACCTTGGGCGATTCT